TTTTTGCATTTTTGTGTATTGAAGGATCAAATAATGATTTTCACTTTTTGAGATTTTCCAACAACAATGAGTAGTTATGGAGTATAATTCCTACGCATTATGGTTTGTGTTTGGGCAATGTAATTTGGATGAATTAGTTTTGAACTTGCTATATATCTTTGGTTAGAATTCACTGTTAAAGTGGCAAAGCTTATTTCAGTTTATATTATCAGTTAAGTCCAAAATTTGATGATAACTTTATATCTGAACATTGCAAAGGGATAGACTTTACAAGTTTTGCTTTTTCGGTCGATTTTCGACCTGGTCCATTGACATTCCAGTCTCTTTTAATTTGTCTAATGTTACCTTTCTACCACAATTGGTACATACAGTAAGAATCGTTAACCTCGAATAATAAGTTGTTAATTATTAAAGAAGTGTGTAACTGGATAATTCAGTCTAGCGCCTTAGCGTGTTAAGATAATAATTGATTTGAAGGACTAGATGACTTGGACTACATTTCCCACCTTCAAACTCAGAAATGATCAAATTAATTTAAGGAATGGGGCCACTACATTTGTATACCTTGTATTATAGCAAACCATAGAGTAGTGGACTGCCGTCTCTTCTAATCGAGTCAATGCTATATCTTGGTCGCTCTTGTGGCTTTTGTTATGTTATTTAACCCAAATGAAGACACAGCCTTGGAGCCTATGAAATATCGTATCACGATAGCAATGGGAAATCATTGGCATCGCATTAACTATATATACCACTGTTTGTGTGTCGTACAAACAGCTCTTACAATCTGTATATTCAGATTAGAATTTGCTGAACTAAAATCGTATTTGACAAAATCCCTAAATAGTTTGAGACACGATGAAGTTATTTTCAACAGGCTACTCTCTTTGACAATAGATTTTGCTAATGTTGAATTTACTGAATTGACTTTGAAATAAAATTCTTGTTTGTATTGTAGAAAGATAGAAGATGTAATTGTCGACAGATGGCTACTTCCACTGTTCAATGTGTGCTCAGAAAGTAGTTTGTATTAGCTGTAGAATAAATCTAAAATGGATGCCAAGTACTACAGAAAACTGTGCTTGGTACAGACTGCAGAAAAATGCTCTAGTATCATAATGAAGATAAAATAACCAAACAATTTACTAATTTTTATCAACTTAATTCCTGTCATTCCAACACTTTAAACATTAAAATAACCAGCAAATTCAGAAAATGCAGTATCACTAAATTGGTTGGTTTTATCTTGGAATCAAATATCAATTTTGTATCAAAAAAGTAAAGAATAATATTTGGAGAAATTAAACGCTTGAATTGAGATATCGAGATTAAATAGAATCTAAAGTGATGAAAGTCTTGACTTTATATTTGAGATTGGTTAAAACTATTCTCTAATGAAAATATTGATATTATTGCCACTGCTGAATTTCTCAACAATCCTTATGTTTAGGAATTAAGCCAAACAATACAAAATTAACACCTTTGCAAGTAAAAGTATGAAATAAACAGAAAATTGATTACATGTATTGAGAAATGAAATGGCAAATTTCCACATTTCCAGTTAGGGAGTTTCTGGCGTAATGGAGAAATTAAGTTTTCGTCAAAATAAGCTTGTGCTTGTGCTTATTTGGCTAGCTACAATGGTTTTACTTTTAATCTACTAGGTTGTATCTCGGTTGGTGCGTTTTTTACTGATTGTGAAAGGAGCCGCGGTGGCTCAGTGAGTTAGACGCTTGCTCACTAACTTTAAGGTCCAGGCTGTAAAAAATCCACGACAGTTGGAAATCGAAAAAGAGCAGGCTGATGCCAATGTTCTGGAAATGATTTTACGACATTTTCGTGTTGGACAGTTTGAGAGTGTTAGAGTTAGACCTTTCATTTCCTTTCATTTCTTTGAACATGCGTAGGTTGGTTTGAAACATATCAATATGGAGCTGAGTTGGCGTAATGCAAGTTTTCGGTGCTCATTTATAGTGCAATAATTTTCAGAATGTAAATTTAAACTTCAGATTTAGACCTGAATTTCTTTCAAATGACAATAAACATTTGAAAACAATTTGATGAAATACAGTTTTTAATCAAAGCATCACATGAGCGACTGAATTTGATTTTTTTAAAGGGCACTATGCTATTTCACACTTAAACAGATATAATATTCTCGACTGTTTCTTATTTACCAATTCTAAAGTCCCTGATCAGTTTTATACATAGAACAACAAATATTGTATCTTAAATCTTTGAACATTTGTATTCACGTAGGTTTAGTTGAGATTTTGTTATATTCTGTTCTAACAAATGTTGTGTCAATAAAATTCTTCCAGATAGTTTATCAAAAAGCGAGTTGACAGAATGTCTTCTCTGTACAACTATATGAAATCCATTTAACTCGAAATTATGTCGATCTTGAACATGAAACCGTTTCTTAATAGTTTAGACCTTAGCAATGATACCGATAAAGTAGAATTCTTTTTGCCTTAAATACCCACGTAGCCAATCGAGTCATTTTTTGAAAATTTCATCAACGTCAGAGGTCAAATGGAGGTTTGAGCCATGTCGACATGCTTCTGAATGACTGTCGTTATACTTTCAAAGAAGCTGCTTTCATGGTAATGTGTTTCTTAATTTGAACCATCAGTTTAGGGCTTTTACTAGTATCTTGCCTACATTACCAATTTCCTATATATAGAACTATAAACTGTTTGATAAAAGAGATGTTTCTAAAACTAGTTACAGACTTTTCAAATTCTATGTCTATGAGGACTATCGTAGGTTTTATATGTACTTATTACAAAATTGACTTTTCAACTTTAGTCAGAGTGAGCAAATCTTAACCCTTTTGATGAGTATTTTCTATACACTATCCCATTTTTTTTTACATCTGTATAATTATGTAGTCATACAAAGCTGTAACTTAATTTTACCAGCTCAAGAAGGAGGGTAACTCCCTTCAGTGTCTGGTAGAGCTCCTGGCATATGATCTGTGGTTATAAGGTTATACACAGTGCTAGACAATTACACGCAAATATGATTTGGACCTGTTTTTATATCTACAAATATATAAGTATAAAATAACTATAAGCAGAAAATGAAAGTTGCATATTCAAAAAATAAGAACTTAAATGATAATATTGTTCATAGTAAACTAAAAACAATCAGTTCATAACAGATACTATACTTCTCGAGTTATTTTTTCTAATTTCAGATCAGAATAAGAACAGAAGAAAACCCAATATCAAGACCCTTAATCCTAATTTCTAAATAAAGTGTCTGCTCCACCCTAGGCCTGTAAAATTTGGGAGAATCAAACCTTCCCTTCCCCGAAATCTCATTTGTTAGGACATAACGTATCAACCGTTTTATATATTTAGAATAATCCTTGCAAGGTCCAATTCTATTTTTAATTTATTTCAGTAGAGCAGCCAATTATGCTGCAGCTTTAAAACAAACGGATAGTTTACTGAACACTATTTGTGTATATTGATTGTATATGATAAATACATTTGTTTTTGAAACTAAGTTGAAAGAAACAAGGGTAAGAAAGTTGTTGTGTACTTTTCAAAGAGTTGACAATTTCAAACAAAGAAACAGTAACTGCCAATTAAAGATAGACATTTTACTTTATGTAATCATTAAGTATGAAACAAGCTGGAGGCTAGTCAATACCCAGTAGTCAGTTGAGCTGAAATTCAGCCAGACGATTTTTTTTTTTTGGTATTAACTAAAGACAACATTATTCTGAATGTGATGGAACAGTTAAGCCCTGGTGCAGTTTAATACAAGAATAGTTGGAGTAAAAGATGGTCGTAGAATTATTGATTGTTTTAAAACGTTACAATATCAGTATCTGGTCTAGTAATCCTAATACGGTCTCTCTCTTGTTATAGTCATTGTAACCAATTCTTAATAACAATTATTACTCCACGTCTTTCCCTCTCAAGTCTTTCACACAACTAATTACTTTAACTGGTCATATCGGCCATTGTCCAACTACCATTCTTTTATTCAGCTAATACAACATTATTACAATCTATCTATTAGGCCCTTTTATAACATATTCAATAACGTCATTTCTTCCATTTCCTTCACACATCACATTGCGCATGCGTGCATTCATCATACTCGATCTCTTAGAGTTCTTCCGCTCGTGCAGGCAAGAAAATGGCGTCGGCAGCATTAAAGCTGAACAGCGGGAGTCTAGCTGGAAAATAGAGACGGTGCTTCCTGGTTTTATGGAAAAAAAATGGATTACGTTTTTTTGTGAATTAATTTTTTGTGTGCCATATTATTTAATACCGACGTCATTTTAATAATGGACACTAACTCTCATCTTCTGTCTGCTCGTGCTGCAATTCTTTACTCAGATCATTTTCTCTTCTTGCTGATTGTCACCAAATAGTAGCATTATTCCAGCACGACTATTATTTTACGGATTATCGAAGGATTACACAGAGGCTTATCTTATTCTTTGATTTAATCTTGATCTTCTCCTGCTGCGTGATATGTCAAGTGTTCTATTATTATAATTCCAAAGAAGGATTTAAATTTGGAATTTAATTGTGAATTTTTAAGTCAAGAGTTTCTAATAGTACAGATGTGGTAGAAAAGGATAGTCATTTATATTTATTCCATGCATTTATAGGATGTTTAAAGATATAACATCCTGACATCGTGTGTTGCTGAAAAATTGTGTCCAGCTTTAGGCATTATACGGGTATATCAAAGCCAAAAATATTTAGCTTTTTTAAGATTTTGTATAGCATTAATAAATATATTCTATATATTTGCCTAGCAGTATTGGTTCATAATTTTGTTACTCCGGACACTACATTCATATGGATTAAATGATAAGTGATTTAAATTAAAAATATATTAGTCTTGCCAAGTCTACAGATGTGTAAACCCGAAACTTGCCCACTGCAGGATTTGAAAGCAATTTTATGGTCTGTGAGTGAATACTTGTTCTGTTTAGAACTGTTAACATGGACTGTTGTACGAAAAAACGGTTCCTCACAGTGATGACTAGTTTTTGCTCGGGGGCAGCTTTCGGTTTATTGTGCATAGCGGTCGGAACTGATTACTGGCTATATACCAAAGAGAAAACAGCGGAAGCCGATTTTAATAACACTGTGCGATATAAAAGTGTGTATTCTGGTCTGTGGAGAGTTTGTCGAATGAAAGGTAGGTTGATGGGTTTGTTTTTCTCTTCTGTTAATTGTATATCAGTGTCTATCATGAATAATGCTATTCTTGTAAGACTAAGTAATATTTTTCATCATGACTTCATTTCCCTCTTTTATGGAGCTATTAAATTGCATTTCAAACTGGAGTAAGGCACAGTGCATTTGAATTTTCTTTTTTGCATATTTTTGATGTTCTTTTACACTCGTCTAGAGATATATTAAGCTATTTTAAGTTACATTAAAAACATTGCATGAACATTGCCCTACCCATGCGTTATCCTACGTTAAATTGTTCCACTAATGTGTACTAAAATAAAACGGGACCCTTGCTGACATTATATCTTACGAAACAAATGGCGAAACAAACTACAATCAATGAAAATTGACACGATTTTAGAAATACGATTCAAATGATTGCGGAGATGTTACATCTGTCGGATATGGATATTACCACAACTCTTATCAAGTTTCACATATTTTACGTTTACATATAGTAAAAGTAGTAAAATGTGAACCACATTATGTCTATTCACATAAAAGTAACGGGGATATTTAAAATAAAAAGACCCATGCCTAGAAATTACGTGTGTTGAACGCACTGTGGGATTGGATTTTTAAGACTCATACGAAGATAAATTTTGAAAATCAAACAAGCCCAATGAATGATATAAAGTGGCCAGAATCTAGTAAGATCGTGTTCTGCTAAACTTATTCCAGTTGAATTCCCCAGTTGTCTTCATACTGTAATTATCTTTGAATTAATTATCACTTAATAATGACCTTAGCGACATAGGGAGCATTGCTCTACTTCCACACTCGATTACTAAATGAATAAATTGACTTCTGACCTTGCGGAAGTGACATGGGGAGAATTACTCTAGATTCAAGCAATAGCCAAGAGATGAAATAAAATAGAATGTATTTTGTTGTAAGTCTTACTACGTTAATGGAATAATTGTAGATTAGTTTAGGCCTATTAATTTTTTCACGTTTTGAGCTAGCTAAGTAACAGAAACTGTAGTGGGCATTTTAGTTTTGCTTTTCTGTATCATGTTTCTGTTAGTTGGGGGATTGACCACTTCTGTACGTTTCAATGTTACTGGACAAATATCTAAAAACTGGTCTGATGAAATCAGGTTTCACCTTATTGTTCAGCTACCGAGCTTTACTTTCAGAAGACTAATGAAAAGCCTGTTTCCTTTGTTACATGGACATAATGTTTTGCATTTATTCAGAATATTAAGCCTACTGAAGTTGATTGATTCGTTTCGTAATTTAATCGTCAGCACGGATTTAGTTTTAATGACGTCACGAAAGAGACAGACGACTCGTGTGTCAGACGACAATTCCATTCATTAATCAGAGAATTATTGAACAAGTATTCTCAAGTGACTGAGTTACAGAAATACAAAATGGCGTTTAAATCGGACAACTTAATTTTGTATTTGAAATTTAAATCAAGAATCAGGTGTTTGCTTGTGGTAATTAAAGAAATGAGCTTAACTCTGAGTTTCTGAATATCGTTGTCATGTAAAGCGCATTCCAATTGCACGACGAGTGATACGAATTTTAAGCTAAATTTACAATGCTAAATTTACAATGTTCATAATCATCTCCGACTTAAATTTATACAAAACCATAATTACACGGTGGCGGCCTGAAATAGCCAAAAATGTTAAAAGATTAACTTGACTTCATGTCAAGACCTAAAAATATGTCATGACATATTAAGTACTGCGCAGCACAGAAATGTAACATGTAACGAGGTTGAAAGAGCATTTAAAAGTATCTTTGTACTAAAAGGAATTGCAATAACTTCCGAGATCAGGGTTGACCCCCAATTATATGCGGCGACTTTAAATGCACTACTATACAATATGGTAGTGATCTGTCGTATGAAACCGGGCGGTAAAATTTCTCTGAATGGACAGAGATTAGACGCTGCCATATATTTACCCCCTCCCCCCCTTGAAAGTTTAGGCCTACATTATATTCAAAATACTAAAAAATGCATTATGTTAAGTTGATATTATATTAACACGAAGAAGATCAATGAAATCTAATATCTGTAAAGCAAACTGGTATTAATGTTTCATAAAAGTAACGGTGCTGCCAAGAATTCACAATCCCATTAAAAATATCGACGTGCATGTCATTAAAATGTATTTAATAATAGAATGATTAATGCTAGTTCTCTCCCTTGATGAATGAATTGTCAGACTTCAAAATAACGTCATTAAGGTCTCAACAGGGAGCCGAGACACTCGGGTTAACATTCTCTGAATTAGAAATATTTCTTTATGTCACCCTCAAATCTCTAAAAACCCATTCAAATAAATGGATTCCACTAATAGAACATCTAGTTTATAAAAATTTTTCGCAATAATGTTCTGCTATTGAGGAGCTAATGACGAAAAGACAATGCGATAAGGTAAACTTCAGTAGAAAAGTTGCAATAACTCTTTTGTGAACATGATATGCAAATATCAATATGTAGATGTACACGAACCAAACTAAGAATCAAGCTGACAAAATGAAGAAAGATTCTTACCAAAAGATTAAAAGGTGTGGATTGTTTAAATTACGCATTAATCTGATTTGTATGGTTCCTGCTTTCTAGCGTTTTATGATGTCCACTAAAGTATTATACGGTCATTTGATACAGTAATATAATGTTTCGCCGTTATATTAAATGTAGTTTTTTTTGCATGTCGTAGCCGTAGTTTTCTTTTGTAAGCCTTTGGCATTTCAGATTCATTTAATTATTCGAAAGACCCGTAAGTTATAGAACTGTGGGCGTATTGATTGATATTCATTATAGTATTCGTTATACTATTTTTTGATGGTTGCAAATGTTAGTTCATATTCAAATCAAATATTCGTTAAAGGGGGTTTTGATTGACAAAAGGTGATATTAGAAATGACATGGAGTGAAGCAGCTTTTAGGTTCTAATTTTCGTCCTTCAATTTGGGTTAATGAACTGACCCGATTTCACATATATATATATATATATATATATATATATATATACATGAATTTGAGTAATTGTCACAATAAGTGCTATCTATGATAAACCAAATCTTGTTTTGAAACAACACAAGTTAATACACAAGTGATGTGTCTATATTACACAACACAAACTTGTGTTGCTCTGTCTTCAACACAAGTCTTGTGTTCATCAACACAAGACTTGTGTTAAAACTTGTGTGGGAAAAACACACAAGCTTGTGTTAGAATTGAACAAACTTGTGTGTTGTTTTGAAATGCTAACTTGTGTTGATTTATAACACAAGGGTGTGTTAATATACTTGTGTTTTCTGTCCATTTTTTAATTCTACTTCAAAATGGCATAATTCCTTTCCAATGACATACACTTTCTTATGCATATAAATCAGCCACAAATTGAAAATAATACAAAACTCAATTGATTCCACCATACTTTATTAAAACAATAACTTTTTAAAATCTACACTGTTTATGAATAATAAATGCCAGATACTACGGGGTTAATTTATGTCTTGAATATATGTAATCACATAATTCCTTTAAAAATATCTCAAACTGGGAATTTTACTCACTATTTCTATAATGTATGTCTTTTTCTTTACATCAAAGAGCATCTTAAAATGACGAATCGGCATTTTAACATTCAAACGCGGATAATTCTGGACACACATAGATTTGAAGGCTCAAATTTCGACGGTGAACTAAAGTATAAGTAGCCTATGATTGGTCAAAAAGAAGTGGCGTGTGTTGTTTACGTTCTGTTCAAAAAATTCTAAGTGAAGTGCCTTCCTGAAAAATACGAAAGATGATTTGAATTAGTTATGAAGTAAATAAAAGAGGGGCATAATTTCTTGGTAGCCAATAGATAAAAAATATTGTTTGAATAGTCAATTCGCTTCCATAAGTTTTCATCTCGTCATATTATTTTTATTAAGAAGGGAACAGTCGGCATTTTAGAGGTTGAATATTTATGTAAATAGTCCTCAGAAGTACCAGAACTGCACGAAAGTCGCATAATCCCAGATCGTAAAATTATTAAATGCGGATAATCATTGCAACCCACTCTGTGGCGCCCCATTCAGTAGGTAATAACCGTAACGTCACAAATTAATGCCTTTTTGGAAACACAATCTGAAAGAAGAACATTTTGGTATAATTAGCTGAAATTATACAACGTCTATATGAAAATATTCGACCCCACTGATCTACCACTGACAATAGGGAGATAGTGGGACCTCTTTTAAGAAAAGTGCACGAATGAATTCTGACCGAGCTCATCCCGATGTCATGCCCATGTTCGTGCGTACGCCTGGCTTAAGTAGATCTAGTGAAACAACTGTAAACCGACAGTCCAACATCAGCAATGCAATGAAACAATTTGTATTCACTTACCTCTGGTCTTGTATTTTCTTTCTCCATGTCACAAACCGAGGGCGAAGGAAAAATTCAACGTCTGCGTTATATGACGAGGTTGTGTTACTAAGCTTTATGACGTAATCACAAATGACATCACTGATTGAAACTACACAAGTATGTGTTGGCAAAAATATACACAAGTCTAGTGTTGGATTTTAAAACAAGTTTGTGTTTAAACTACACAAGTATGTGTTAGAAAAAAATGATACACAAGCTCTGTGTTGGATTTCAACACAAGTGTGTTTGAAATCACACAAGTTTGTGTTTAAAGTACACAAGTTTGTGTTAGAAGAAATTTACACAAATCTTGTGTAGATTTTTCAACACAAGATTTTTTTCAGTGAATATACCAAGAGGAAACCACGTGAATATGACATGCCTTTCCCGATTAGGTTATTACAAATAACTTTGGACAGATATGGCTAGACCTCTTAGCTGTCTGTCTGAATTGGAGGCGTACTTTTTGTATTAACCATTTAATGATATTCGCCTTTCAAATGGAACAATATTATACAAAGTTTGTTACTTTCCAGATTCATCATGAATATTCATCATAACTTTTTATCTCTCAGTTTGGACAACAAAGCATAACGTTTTCTATCTATTTTTGACCTGGGCCGAAGCTGAGTCTGTTTCCAACAAGATCATGGAGGATAATATTCAATGAGTTAATTCAGGGCCCTTCTTTCCCAAAAGTCGTGTCTCTACTTACTTATTCTTAAAGCCGATTTCGATTTGTTGATAAAATGTAACTTAATGCTCTGTGGGTGAAGTTTAGATATAATTATATCATATATATGTTGACCCGTAGTTTGTATTTATATGACACAAAGTGTGTTATTTAAGAGATACTTCTAAAAGGTAATAAACTCATAGTTTGTAAATGTGTGTACATGTTACATATGCGTAACTCGGCCCATTTTTCTAAAAGATATTTTTAGGGAACTATTAACAATGATAATGTTTGTAAAGTGTAATCCCGGAGAGGGGAATTTAAGCTGAGTGGGAACATTTGATGATGCATGGTTAATGATCCATACGTAATTACCCTAGACACTTTCATAGTGTGTTATTACACTTTTCAATCACCAGCTTTTGTCTTGACTTATTGGTTGGTCAGGGAGGTTATTGACCACTATCACACTGACTGTACTATTGTTCTTAATTATAACAGTGTATATGTTTTCTTTAATTTGTTCGTTGATCAACACAGCGTATTATATTCATGCACCAGCTGTTTTCTTGTACAGGTCCCTTGATGACCAATTCTGACCTTTTGATTGCAATTCTGACGCTGTATTTACAATTAAAGAATAACCAATTGATGCAGTCAACAAAAATGATACCGCATCATAACTTTTAAAATCTAAACAATAAATGACAGTACCGACCAAATCAGAATGAAGATCATTATTGTGAATATGCCCTTTAAGACTTTATATTATTATCTTCCTTGGACTCCAAATATCGAATATCATTATGACATGGCAAACTGTAAACTATGGATCCACCATTGTTTAGAAGGTTAAAGAGGTAATAATCCTATATAATCACTACGTGGGTGAAGATTTAACGCACAGAAACTGACGATCTATGGATCATATCTGGGAAATATAATTTTAACTTTGAAAACTGATAAGATCAATTCGGTTTCTTGCTTCAGTAAATATTTAATAATATATATTAATATTCTGTTAATATCCCTCTGCTTCTTTAGAGTGTCATCTCGTTTCGGTTAGTTTGTCGAATGATTATGTATGTTAATGATTTTGACTTTCGTATCGGCTTTATCCTGTTATGGTATGCGTGCTATTTGTAATTCAGAGAGTGTAGTTAATGATCACTGACCACCATAGAGACTGAAAACAGAAGATCATCTTCGATATGTAAATAGAACTAATGGAGCAGTAGGTTCAATAATTAAATCACAAACACAGATAATGCGATCAGACCATTTGCTATGCGAATTTCATTAGAACAGATAAGTATTGAAGATTCTCGGATAGACACGATGATATCTTCTAATCATTAAACTAAACACTCGCATTCTATAGTTGATTTACTGTAATGGACCCTGTGCAACATTTTCCAGTTATGTTTGTTCTATATCAAAATCTTCAATCAAAATAATTTTGTATTAATCTAAATATCATGAAGCCAGGCACTATCGAGTCCAAATCGAGCTATTTCAGATTGGACTGATTACTACAGTGCGAATGTACTGGGTTCAATTTTTTTTTATTCATGTGACTAACATACATACATGCTAATAAAATTGTAATAGTTTATTGTAAACTGGAACGTGTTTCACGCAAACATTTCGTGCACATCCAACAAATAGGAAACTTATTATTCAATATATTTGTAATCAATCTGCGGGTGACTGTTTTGCAAGTTTGGTTTTGATCTTTTCGTTGTGTTTATTATCGTTCTAAAACAAGAAATTTGCCATTAATTATGAATTCATAAATGGGCGACGAAAGGTTATATTGTAAAATTAAAGTGTTTGTTATTGAAAGCCAACCATAATACATGTAGCTGTACATATTACTGTTACAGATCAACTACAAAACATGCGAAAGAGATTCCATTAACATGCTTGTCGAGGTCGATAACAGCAAGATATAATACTATTTGTATCTGGAAATTAATGATTTGGGATTTCAGTGCGTTTCAAATAAGGATTCCGTAAAATGGTAATATAAATTAGCGTTGGACTGGCGGCAAAGGCGATACCTGTGTTTGTAATGTAGGTAGCTCGTCCATGATCAATTCTCTACAACATTGACCAATATGAAAAATGATTCCATTGGGCAACGCATGCAAATTGACTACTGTGATGTCAAAGCTAACAAAGCAACTACTCACTGTAATCTATGATTAATATGATCATTACACAAGTTTTAGTGATAATATTATAATCACGATAGTAGTTGATCGCATTTAAAGGATAAAGTTCATTTACTGAGTTGAAATCTGGTGGGAGATGGTCGTCTCGATATTCCCACTTGATTTTACTATAACTTCTGACATTTATAGAGAAAATTTCAATCATCGTTTACAATATATGTTTAATATACTGTCTATTAATTATTCATTTCCTCTCCAATTCGCCAATAATTCCCCCATTTCTCCCCTTCAGCTTACGATTAGAATCTAAATACCATTAGAAAGGAGAGAAAATTGAAATCTGGCTTGCAGAGTCTTTAGCTGTTGTGGATTTATTTTATAATAATTTGACAATAAAGCCTCATTGTGATTCACGTTATAAAATATTTGAAATCTAAATGGGAATGAAAAAAATGGAAATTGCCTTGGGGAGCTTTTTGTTTGTTTCACTTGAAATGTCGTGACGGAACTGAACAATACATAATAACCATTTGTCACTGTAATCTGTTCATGGATTTCAGCTCTATATCATTGAGACACTTACTTCAGTTTATATGATTCAACAGACTCCACGACATTCAATTTAGCTTTTTATGGGTAACAGGGAGATAACTGGCCCAGGAACAAAATGAGGTATTCTGAATCTATTTCTGTACCTAAACCTAAACTCAAGCTCAAATCCAAAACCAATACGTGCGATATTTTGTGTGAGCTGACAGCAGTCGGCTACGGACAGCTAGCAAGGTGCTGACAAATTTGTGGAACCCTTTATATCATTACTGTGCGAGATTCTTTGTTTCCTGACCCAATATTCCCTTTGACAGTTTTGTGGACTCGTACGGATACATGTAATCGCGTTTTGAGTTTATGATTGATCTCAAGTTTTTACGTATACATATGTAATCTTAGCTTAAAATTTATCTCTGCACTTTCAGATACTTATTTCAAAACCAAGTCTTTCGACAACCGCAAGAAGTAAACGTTTTGGGCAGGGGTGTAGTGTGAACATTTTGACTGGGAAAAAAATAACTAGCACTAAGTTATATATACATACGTACATACGAAACATTTCGTTTTAGGGTAATTTTATATAGGTTTTAATGTTTATATAATTATTTCCACATCAACACTTTCATTGCTTGTGACGGCCACTGGAATGATCAATGGTAATTGGTTAGCTTTAGCAAGGCTTGGATGAAAGCGTTGCTTCCCAAAGAGACACTTTGCAGCATTTCGCAAATTCTTCTGATGTCATTTCCCATCATTTCGATATCTGCCACAAATGAAAGGCAAAACCGATTGGTTAACCGAAAGAGTGAAAAGTTTGTGTCAGTTGTGATGATCGGTAAATTCTTCGTCTACATTTAAATCTGATTGTCGGTATAAAACGCAACAAGTGGACAGGACATAGTGTACAGCACTTCTCAATGACTTAAAATATCCTGATACTTAGTTGGCAGATATCGAAAGATGAGAAATGATATCGAGAAGTGTGGTAAAAGACGGTAATGTAGTAAAACCGACGGTTAACCGAAACCGTTATGACTTATGTGCAACATTTCCCATGAATGACTTGAAAGATCGTGATTTTACTGAAGCTGTCGGTAAAACGCGAAATCGTTTGGTAAAAGACGGTAATTGCCGAAGCAGTCGGTAAAACCGATTGGTTAACCGAAAGCGTGAAAACCTGACAACAATGCATTGAGATCTTTCAAGTCATTTGGAAATATTGCAAACAATTTGTTGCTTGGTACAACTGAAACATTTTTACCTACAATCACTTTTAATGAAGACGAACTGTTTTCCGGTACAACATAACTGACACAAGGTATTCACTCTTTTCACGCTTAACCAATCGATCTTACCGACGGCTCTACCTAATACCCTTTTTTACCGACACTACATTTGGTTGGTCAACTATTTTGTAGATTGGTACCGTTTCTCCTGCGCTTTAAACAACTTTCACAACAATCGCAACATTAATTACAATCTATCAAAACCTCTGATATCTAGAAGCCAATTAACTGAAAAATTTGAAAATGACAATTACCAGATCTACCATGAAGCGACCTGAAAACACGACCTTTTCCAATTATATAGGGTAACCTCTTGAGGTAAATGACTTATCTTTACTAATAATATTAATTCAACTGAAGTTGTATTCTGGTCGATATACGACATTTCAGAGACATCATCTTAACACCCTCTCTAGCTACTAGTTGTAAAAACCAATCTAATAGAAATACGTTGATCATAGATAATGGACTTGCGATCAAACTTGATGTTCTTATACCAAAATCAATAGAATGGAAGAATACTTTTTCTGATTTCTAATGCAGAGGAAAATCTAGATTATCGCAAAAAGACGAGTCGAAATCGTCATGAAGGAGTACTTTTTGCACTTTTATACAGACCGAGGAGGTGGAGAGATAAAAGGGGATAAAATGACATTACTGTGATAATTTCTGTTCAATGTTTGATTTCTGTTTTACATGTTAAATTAAGTACTGATATTTCTAGAACAACGAGGCGAAAATATACAAAAAAATATAAAAAAGATGAAAGATTGCATACATGTACAGTTAAGGCTTGGAAGTTGCTTTAAACACCCAGACGTTGAATTGAGTTATAGACATCGATTCTCAGTAATAGATTCGAATGATTGAAACTTAACGAAATTTAACTGCGACTATTGAAAGTAGGTCATCGAGACTACCATTATCCCTCTGAAATGTCTGTCTGTCTGTCCAGACCAGTTAAGAACAAAATTTGGTTGGATTTTTTGGTTTCGTATTTTGTACCTGTTTAAAATTTAGTTCAATGTTCTAATCTGTCATAAACAGCGTTTAGACAGCCATTAAAACTGGCCCACTTGAAGTGAACCCTACTCGGTCTGGACTCGGCCCGGTTGGCCTGTACCGTTTACACAGCACTGTTTTCACTGGGCCAAAATCAAAAGTAGTCCTGCTCTCCAGAGGAGGCGAAAAAAACACAAACATACAAAATGGCGCTCGCTATAAACAAAGCTATGATTTGTGGAATTTGTCTCGTTTAAATCGCAAACGAACCTTAAGAATCTCCAATTTTTTTTGAGACACACAGCAATGAAAGTGCATGTTTGCGTGCACATCGGCGACGAAAACTTTTGCAAACGATGTTGTTTATTACGATATTACATGTAACTGTCTTGCGAGAAAGGTAGGTTATGGGTACTACTTATTATAACAGTAAGTCGATCATTTTTTGTCATAGTTTAGCCTAGTTTGTTGTTCCCTCGAATAAAGTAACAGGGTCAAGGTCATTATTGCGCATGCGCACAAGCCCCCGGCCAGTGGCGCGTTTACACAGCATTAATATTTTGCCGTGCCGTACCCGGTCCGGACCGAGACCACCTCTTCTTGCGAGACTCGGCCCACTTGAAACTAGCACGGTGTCGAACCCTCTCAACCCGTTTACACAGCTGGACCTGGCCCGGATAAATTGTGGCTGTCTAAACGCGGCTATTGTAATGTAAACCTCTCAGAATTTCCATTTAGTTAGCTTTTATTGACTAAAATTCTTCTAAATAGTGGCTTTGGTAGCTGTCTCGCGTTGTGACAGGCTTATGGTGTAGTTCTTCCACTGTTCATTCATAAAAGTAACAGTATTCCATTCAGCCATTTTGAAAGATATAAAAACACGGTAGTTTAAATTAATGGTATAATATGGACTGCCTGAAGTGATCACGTGATATCGATTAGTTTGAACCCGGCTTGATCCTTTCCCATCATCACAGCTCCACAGAACTCATCATCTTTGAAGCGGAAAACTTGATATCAGTTATTTTCTACTCCGACTAAAACATCTCACAGTATTTGTAGAAATTAGAAAATGATTTGCTCGAGTGAGTGAGGTGATTTGGCACGAGATTAAACTTGAATTACATTCTCTCATTTTAATAAACTCGTATTTTCCAGTTTCCCGACGCTTTTCGTTTTTTATGTGAATAATTTATGCTCCTATAATTTGTGAGTTAAAAAAAAAAAATAAAAGTTATTATTGGTGGGAAGGCGTCTGGGTTGAAAACTCAATAAATGCACATCTAATGCCATGAAATGCCAATATGTGTAGGTTCTTAGAAATATTAAATCAGGTCAAATTATTCATTTAAGTAACTTTGCAATTTCCAACCATCATCGGTTATCATGTCCTGATGAACAGAGAGAAAGATTATGTGCTTTCGTTGCTGCTGTGTTATTGAGGAAATCGAAAATGAAAGATGGTGATTACTGCACTTATCAATAATATCGATATGTCGCTTCAAAACTTCTAAACTTTTCAATCTTGATTTAGACGCATTAAATTCAGAAAGATTCTTTGACTGATAGTTTATAGCGTGTGTTAGGTTCGAGCGAAGGTTAATAACGCTAGTGTGTCGAATGAGTTATAATAACAGACCCTTAACTCGTTATTATTTTGTTACATAATGGTATTATATAACTGATAAATTTTAATTTGAGGCTTAGTGAGTTTGGCGCTTGCTCGTTCACTCATGTTTCTACCAGGCGCTAGTTCAAATGACACTTATTTTTTCAACCAGGATTTTCTGACTGGAAAATCCATTCGTTAGTAAGTGACAATAAAAGTCACTCATGGCATTGCCCGTCTTCATTTGCATATACTGCAGCAGAAATGTAGGACATGCAACATTATTTGTTTAACTACTGGGTTCCATCCTCCATTCTGGATCATAAGACATCTGATATGACTTATGAATAACAAAGATGTGTTCACAAATGGTATTATGCGAAGAAAAATGCTTATGATTCAAAAATATTCTGTAGGTGAGTTTAAATTGTTGGCATAAAGGATTACGACAATCCTGTCGTCAACCATGATTTATATTAACCTACGAAATGGAAATAGATATGAAGGGTTGAATGTTCATAAGATTGCATTGTTCTATGTCGAGTAATTTGTCTGCCATATGCACTTTACTTGATACTTAATTTCGGAACAGTTCAGAATAATATTAACTATTAATATACTAACACCATTGTCCATATTTCGTAATACATTATAATAGTATTTGAACTCAAAACTAGAACCCTGGTCATATTGCAGCATTTATCACTATTTATTTTATTTAATTTTTCACCCTCTTTGCAGATGTTTTATCATGGAAGAGGTATGTTTGATACATTCAACGCAGTTATTAGTTATTTCGATAAAGATCAACAGGTCATTATTTTCAAGGCCAATCGTCATTCACGAGGTTCCTTTAAGTTGAGCTGAAATAAGAAAAATGGTCAATAACTAAGAAAACTGAGAGAATAATATAAAGTGTTTACCGTGATGTCTGAAGAAAGAAATTGTTCTTAAAAGATGTAAAATAATAACTTTTTCTAATCGATGACGTGACACAATTTGGCGAGCAATACATATCCGCTTCGTCTGCTACTTCAGCCTTGACCTTAATATCACCTTGTTTAATTTCCGGTTGTTAGTAACGGCTGATTTTGAAAGGAATCTATCGTTCATTGACTGGTTATCAAGATATTGATTGATCTAGTATTATCTATATTATCTCATACATTCACTCTTGATGATGAGAGAATAGATTACATCATAAAACTCCATCTCTAAATTCTACCTATTTGACTGACGTCGCTGAGGCAAGGAAATCTCAGCGACGTTCAGATGGTTTCTTTGAGTTTAAAGTTTCCGGATTCCACACTGGGGACATTAACAAAACATGCTTTGGCCAATCTCCCCTTTTATACAGAACATTAACGTTTCAGATCAGTAGAAGATTTGAAATGATAAACAAGTTTGCGAGTTGACACCTCTTTCTTGCATCTGAAAGGTTTTGTCGTTTCCATTGGCTCATTAGCGCGCTACACTATCGAACAGTAGGACGTGGAAAGTTATCTTGTGACTTTACCGTCTACAATGTCATATAATTGTTATCTTTCGTTATAAAAAATTCAATATCAATTTCGTGATACATAGGCCTAAAAACGAACAACTCTATTTTGGGGTAGATCCATCTTGGTCACCTACGCTTAAATGTCACAGAAGCTTAGCCTGTTCTTTATGTTTTGGCTAAAACCATTCATACTATTTGAAACTACTCTTTTGTGGCATCGAAAAATTTGTTAACTATGTAAATTGGTTTGATACCACAATTCTCATTAAAGATTCTGTCCATTGGTCATCAGGTTTCATATCATAATTCACATAAGACGTCAAAGGTTGAGCGATGGCGGTTATTTATGTTTCACAGTATCGAGAAGATGTCAATCAGACGGGTAATAATTGCCAAAGCTAACCACCATCGTTATTATCATGTTTTCTTTCATATCTGCTCGTCTCGTCTGCCTCTTTTCATACGTATTGGCGGGAAAAGTGTTATTAATTCCAGAAAATATGATGGAGAATGAGAAGAAGGTAATAAGTTGCTTACATTAATAACAAATAGTCGTGTTGCTTACATCCCGTACAAGATCAACTGAAGTAATTAATGCCATCGAAGTCTTTACACGATTTAAAGAAACCCAAAATAGATTGATAGCGTATTTATTGATTATTTACCTGACGTAGAGGTAAATTTGTGTCATTTTGTTTCATGCCAATCAGAATGTTAATGAAGGACATCTTTTCATTTGTGAGAATGTATTGAATTTCTTAATTGTGTATTCACTTTTGGTTACACAAGTCGCTGGTTATGAGAACAATAATATATGTATGTAGAAAAACGAAGGACCATAAAAAGTCGATGTTGTGGAATAATTTTGGTCGGATAACTTTAAAGACTCGGGTAGCTCTAAAAAGACTCTATTGGGGTGGCATAAATCTATGTTTTTAACTCATTATTTGGTGTGGCTCTCCTGCACATAGTATTGTAGTAGAAAAGTTTGGTAGAATAGCAAACTCCAAAGCCTTTATAGTATTTTGGTCGAAATAACGCGTGAAAAGATGGACAGAGGTACGTCTTTGTCACATTCTATTCGAATTTTCTAAATGTCAAAAGAAACGTTGGACTTAAATATTCAATTAGATTTTCGATGATCTCTCTTCTAAGCATTAAGCGGCTTCGTGTTTTTACTTGATGAAAATGAGTGAATATTGAATATCAATTAAATAGCATTTCTACCGATATGAAAAGCCATAAAACAAGAGGGTATTAAGGAAGATAGGGAATTAGAGAAGATTACATTGATAATGCTCTATTGAAGAGAGGAATACCCTCTAGTGTTAATATCCACTAAGACTGATACGTGACCTGTAAATGCTGTCTATTATTTTTATCGATTTGTTTTACCAGTCATTTGAAACTGTAAATCAGTTTTTAATACGGCTACAGAATAGCGTGTTAGTTCCTTTACTATTCGTCCTGACATCCTTACTTGCGGATAATGTTAGGATGCTGCGGGATAAATGTTGTATTTATTCTTTTATCGCCTTTTTAGAGACTCGTTAGTCATTTAGGTGCAGATTTCGTTCCAGTTTGATCATTGTTCACCGGAAAACTGTATTTCTGCCCTCATATCATGTCGTTTGTTCGACATAGAATATCAGTTTCAAAATACTTGAATGAAGCTTTGGTTCCAATTCGTTGAAGTAATCAGTAAAATATGCGAAAGTACTCGGTTTAGTTACATTATTTGGTATACGAATTGGCCCAGTAAGGGTACTATACAGACGCACACCCAATTGTACCCCACTTTAATTCAAACAAATATTTTTCCCGAACAACGTGTCAGAATGCACCAAACGCACGAGAGGTTAGCATCATGACGCCTCCACAAAGTTGCCGCATTTTGAACACAGTCTCGACAGTTGGCCCCTCCCCATTGAGTAAGTGTGTCCCTATTTGACTACGAGTCTCGTGAGTCTGGCACCGCCACTGATTCCCCTGCAATCAAATACAAAAATTATTTACCATAGCTTACATACAAGCCTTTATCTAAATTACACAAAAAATCAAATGATTAATGTCTATTATAAAAATTCTTACCTTAGTACAGATGTTGATGAGATGGCACGTTGTATGTGACAATTACTGCATGATGTTGTCCTTTATATAATTTTTATACGCTCACATGAAATGTGGAGCGTATATTGCCGTCACCCATATCCGTCGGTCCGTCCGTCCACTATTGCTCGTAAACACTCTACAAAGCACAATTCTTGACTGATATCGGCGAAACTTGGTTTGGTTATTTGTAATCACCAATGATGCCTATTGAAAATCAGACGAAGCGAAAAATATTTACTATGAGTTATTGCCCTTGTTCTTGAAACGCTCGTAAGCACTCTAGAAGGTGCAATTCATGACGAATTTTGATGATCTTGGTATGATAAGGATAAACCAGAAAATCAGAAAAATTGAAAAATATTTAGTTATTGCCCTTGTTCTTGAAAACGCGTTCAATTTTAGCTTGTAAACACTCTAGAGGGCACAATTCTTGATGGATTTTGACGAAACTTGGTTTGAGGGTTTGTAATCACCCAAGGATAAACCCTATCGAAAATCAGAAAAATTGAAAAATATCTAGTATTAGATATTGCCCTTGTACTTGAAAACGCGTTAAATTTTTAGTTCGTAAACACTCTAGAAGGCGCATTTCTTGACGGATTTGAAGAAACTTGCCATGAGTGTTGGTTGTCACACATGGATAAACCGTATTGAAAATAAGAAAAATATTTAGTATATGTCATTGCCTTTGTTCTTGAAAACGCGTTCAATTTTTAGTTCGTAAACACTCTAGAAGGCACAATTCTTGACGAAACTTGGCATGAGTGTTGGTTATCACCCATGGATAAGTATAAGTTATTGCCCTTATTCTTGAAAACGCGTTCAAATTTTAGCTTGTAAACACTCTAGAAGGGACAATTCTTGACGGATTTTGGCTAAACTTGGTGTGAGTGTTCGGAATCACCTATGTATGAACCTATTGAAAATCAGAAGAATCTGAGTATGAGAAAATATTGAGTATGAGTTATTGCCCTTATTCTTGAAAACGCGTTCAATTTTTAGCTTGTAAACACTCTAGAAGGCACATAATGATGTGGTGTTATATGTTCGAATATAAACATTTTAAGTATAAAGTAAGATTTTTTTTCAGATTTACATTTTACCCCTTAACTTTAAGTAACGTTGGGATACATTTTGTCTTTGCAGATGAACGTGATATCTATCCTACATGTACATATATAGAATATTTTACAGATAATGACGATAGAGAGGGTATGGGGCCAACAGAAGCTATACTCTGTAAGTATGTTTATTTTGTATCACTAAAGAAGTAAAGAGATTATATTGTGAAGTATTCGTGGCTATTAGGCATGATAACTGAATGTAACAGAAACAAAAACAGAAATATCTCTTAATTTTCACACATTATTAACCGTGTGAAACATTTGATAAACCAAATTGTTAATATTATTGATGGGATTAAGATGTAAGGGCAAAACCATACCTATCAACAGTGGCTCAAATAGATGAGTGGGGGCCGTGGATCTTTCTTTAACGTTTAATTAAGGAATGACCTGAAAATTTTTTCAGTTTATCGATGTATAATTAAATAAACTCGAATACGTGTTTCAATATTTATCTAAAATAGCAACAAACTAAGGCACAAAATTGGCGCATAAATACCTAAAATTTAAACATAACGTAAATGAACTGATGCTAACAATAGAGACTTCCTAGAGAACAGCCAATCAGCAATAAGTAGGTCACCTATTTATAGTCTAGCCTACTGTCTACTGCTTGAAAGTTGACGGAGAGGCCACATTTAAAGTTCAATTATTGAAAGACGAGTTCGAAAAAAGTCCAAAAATCATGATTTTGGTGATATTTCGATAATGCACATTCGAGGGAATTTGGAAAATACCGTAATCATTCAGTGAAATGTAGATTTCGGCTCTGGTGACGTTCGAAGGAAAGACATCGACGCTGTGTAGTGGCCACGCCAATCAAACTCAATGATAAAAGTAGTCCGTTAAGGGGCGTTTACACAGATATAAACCGAATTCATGTGACCGTTGTTATCCAATCAAATTGCGTAATACCGTGTAAACGGAATCGTGATTTACTTATATTTCTTTAACGTTTATTCTTTCAGTAAATATACGTCGAGCTACCACCTTTCCTTTAGTGAGTTTATTAATATTGCTAATAGGAGGAATACTGAGTCTGGGTAGCCATTGTAAATCAAACGGTGGAAGAAAGATTTTAACTTTTGTATGTGGCATTTTATTTGTTTTAGCAGGTGAGTTCCAATTTCCTATCTTTCACACATTTCAAATCTAACAAGTGGTCAACGTATACTCAAACTAATTTTGAAGCATCAAATTTATCAAAAGTTGTAAACATTATCATTGTACATGTATTATCAAACCTACTGATTCAGAGTAGCCTGGTTGGCTAGAGATGCGCAATTGTTCTCTGTGGTATTATTTGACTTAAAAGTTTGTGAAACATATTATAGGTTGAAATAATGCAATCAAAGTGACACATTTCGGTTGCACATTTTCTTTTGATCAGTAAATACCCAAAGCCTATTTCAGTGCTATTGAGTATGAATTCGCACCATCTATTTGAAGGAATAGATCGCCTTAGATAGAACATAAAAAATTAATTTCGCCCAGACTTGACCAATAACAGTACAGTCGAGTAACCTAATTTCGTGGAAACCTATTATTCGTGGATTTCCGGAAAGGATTAATAATTTACATTAGCGACCTTGCGCGACCTCCGCATTAGTTTGTTTTAATAAACATGGGTTTTCTCTACAATGTCAGCTAGTAGAATGAATCCAGTAGTTGCAAGCAAGGTAAAATGTATTAATGTATACTTTGACAAATACAAAATGGCGGATTTCAGTTATTACCAAACGTCACCATTTTTTATCGGCCGAATTTCCTTATAATCCCTAGCCGTAATCGACCTTAATCGTAAATGGACCATATTCTTATGTAGTTTCAGTGACTTTTCGCAATAATTCACGCTACGTATCTTATTTTGTCAGTCACTATTTTTTTTTTAAATCGTGGTTCTTTGAAGGAATTGTCACTAGTTATAATGAATTGATATTAAAGATAAATACTAAGAGAAGTTAATTATACCACCCGGTATCCATACAACATGTTTTTCTAGACTTATTTATAGTTCAAACATTATACACGAAAATAGGTGATGCATTCTGCCGCCGTTTCCGAGTTGGCTGCTCATGAAATATGGGTCAAAGTGAAGAATTCATAAAGAAAATCGAAACAAACCACTTTTAATTATTTTTTAGAATTTCTGAGGAAACATCTAAGACATAAAAAAAAAATTTCGCTTTTTTAACTTTGACGAAATTCGGTGTTGAATCCTTTTATCCACGAAAATAGGTTACAACACTGTATATTTAATATCCATAAATAGTGTCATGGTGTCATAACTAAGCATCAAAATCCCTCTATAACCCGAAACATCCACAAAACCAAGTAATTAATTATAAAACGCTAAATACATCCATTAAGTCTTGGAAAATCAGTTGTAATCATAAGGGGAAGTAACTCTCACACGGGGTTTCCCTCGCCCTAAACCTCTACTCTTGAATGACCTCGACATCGTCAGACAATTTTTGAAAATATACGATATTATAAATTCACGGAAGAACCCATCGTATCACGAATACGGGTTTGACATGGTCTTATTAACCCGTATTAAACTAAGCCCACTACACTTCGTTTTGGTGGCGTGGAAATGAGATTGGTGGCATTTAAATCTGACCAATCAGATCGGTAGAACAGAAATGAGGTCATGTAAACGAAACACAACACCGCTTCGCCGCCGCCCGTTTGAAGAGATAAGAACACATTTCAAGTAATTATTCCAAAGTAAGGTTTTATTTTATCTCGGCTTCAATTCTTTAACGAAAATCTTACTCAATTCTGTATCGTAGGCTACATATTCATCAAAATATGAAATGACACGCTGCTTTCGTTTTGTTTACGTTTGCAAGCAAACGTTTTCAAAATTGATAAAGTGTGGGATGCATACTTATTTAACTAATGGTCACTATTAAACACAAATATTAGCCGTAGGACCAGTGTATTATAGGACGTTCTATTCTTTTAAAAACTAAAAGCATGACTCTCAGCGAATGATTAAAAGTAATATACTGTACTTTATACCAACTGTGACCTTCCTCCGACCTTTTAACACATTTCCCGAGATTCCCATTAGCACATGCTAATAAAGTAAACCTCCCCCTCAATTTTTCACTATTTCACACTACTAACTTAATAACACGGTTAACTTGTTCATAGAAATAGCAAATTCATTAAAACACTATCTGCACCGTGGTCAATCGAACGTGAATGCTTTTGGGAATTCTATTTGTTACAGCTTGCAGAGCTTCTTTCAGATCATGATATTTTTTTTCTCCACACGATCTATGACTTTTCAGAACATAGATCTAAGGAGTCAAAAAAAAAAAAAAATGAATGTAGTATCGATTGGAGAAAGGAATTGAATGGGTCATCACAAATTCCGTTTACCTTCGGTGGTCCGAAGCCTTGACATTCCACGCTGTATAATTTTTAATGATAAATGTTTCATCAATGGTTGTACTTCTAATCCCATGACTCACACTTTAACCTTCATGTACATCTAACTGGGAATATTTGAATTTTTTGAATTTCCAAAATGATTTTACTCACGAATTTTCCGCATTATCTTGAGATAATAATATGAGGAGACAAAAACACTTGAGATGTGTCACTGTCATAGACAGCAGAACATTATTTGTGTCAAGTGATCTCTACCTTATTTTACTTTATATATCATCTCGTTTAAAATGTCGGGCGAAGCAAACTTGAGTTTTCCGAGAATCACTCTTATGCATTTTGCTTCGAAAGACACAAGAAACTTTTGTGTTGTCTTTAAATGTCATTTTATCATTAAGAACCATTGTCTTGATTTATACCGATGTGGTATTGAGAACAGAATGGGGGGATGTTTGAGGGCTGTGTACTTAAACGGATTCTACAGCCACATTCGTGTTAATACGCATTGATTTCAAGTATCTCTGTCGCTAAAAGGAAACTGTAGATTCATTAATCAATAAAAACTAATGAGTTTTAGAGGAGTTGTTAAAATGATATGTCCCACCCCCGCTAGTATAAAGAGTGTTAGATGTGTTAAAATGCTGCAGGCGGTGGCTGAAAAGGTCATTGAATTCTACCATTTAACAATTAATCCATAATAAGTGAGATTTTATCTCAAATTCTTGTCTCCAATTTATCGACTGGGTTTCATCAAGAGATTTTAGAATTGGGAATTTGTACCTTCTAATCAAGATAAACTCACGCCCTAGCTAATGTTTCAGTCGCGACATAAAAAGCATTTTACTATTAGAATAATTCTCAACATCATTATAGAACTCAACCATTGCATTTACTTTCAGTCATTTTTAAAACAAAGTTGGTGAAGTGAAGATTTTCATGGAAACATTCTAGTCTCCTCAGTACCATTTTCACAATGTCAAGCTATTATGAACTTCAAACCTTGAATAGTCACCTTTCTTGCATCATCGAAGTTTGTAAATGAAGCGATTTGATTAAATTCTACGCTTGCGAACATAGCCAATTTTAGGCCTCGACAAAAAGTCTGTAAACTCCAAGCAATAATATTTTCAGCTATCAAGGGCTCTGATTGCTGGCGTATAATTCAATCAAAACGCTGCATATAATTTTGAATATATCTTAGTCCATGTCATTCTCAAGTTAAATTTTGATCGTATCTCTTGAAGCACCTACATATTCTGGTCAATTGAAAGATATTTGATTTTTCAAAATTCTAGACTAGCTTTTTTTATTGAAATGCTAAAATAAATTTATTGAAAAGAAATTAGAGGTATGTTTTTAAAGTACATGATTCGTGGGAAATTGTCAGAACCTGTATGAAGTTTATTGAAATAACGATAGGAAAATTGACAAGACCGCAAGAAAGAAACAATCTGTAAGAGAAACTGTATAATATAAGAGGATATTAACTTAATTATATTGATTAATAAACTGTAGAAGAGTAATAAGCCTGTTGTAATCATCTTCCTGATTCTTTATTATCTCCGTGATTAATATCATTATGTGTACTTAGTTTATATATGGCAAACTCTACCATTACTGAGATTGATATGCGCTTTCATTAAAAAAAAAACATCTCATCCTAGGAACTAGCGCAACATGCATTGGAATGCAAGGAATTGTTGTAACTTATCTTTCGATACATTTGAATATTTTTTTCTGTTCTATTTGCAGGTTTATGTACTTTGGTAGGAATTATTCTCTATATTGGTAGTATAACTGAAGAAGTAGGAAATAAAGCACATGCATCAATAGAAAAACCTAAATTTATATATTTTTATGGACCGTCATTCATGATGGCCGTAGGTTCCTTCATTTTAACGGAACTTTCAGGAGTGTTTTCTGTGTACTTATATATTACTAAGCACAAACAAGCGAGAAGAAAGAAAATGCAACAAGCTTTAAAAAATGAACCAAACGATCGTGCAAACCATTGGCGACATAGACGCCCCCGTGGTGAACATTCACGCGAAAGATCACAATCACGTGATCGATCTAGAGACCCATCTATGAGTAGATCTGAGAGTTATTTTACCTATACACCAATATCAGATACTTCTCACGAACTATCAAATTATAATTTTCAACGAGACGCATCAAGAAACACCATAGCAACAACAGCCGAAATGCACGTGCAAAAAGATACTGTGGCACCGCCATCTATTGATATTGTTCGTCGAACGACACCGGTTTGAAAGTAGTTTTGGATTACAGGATTAACTGTGTATATTTGATAAAATCTGGTCGTGGGGTAAGACCTATTTTTCATAAATGTAAATGAAGCATGCGTAGAGGATAACTTTCTTAAAGTCGTCTTTTTGGCGATTTTGAAGGTTTGGAGATTTTTGCCAAAAATAAGTATGGCGCCAAAAGATATAGTGTGATTGTTGCTAGACCTAGATCCAATGCACAACTTCCCGGGTCTTCACGCCCAGGACAGGAACTAGAAGTACTAAGTACGTGAAGGGTAAGACAGCGGGGCTGCGTCACGAAGTAGAAAGTGACGTACAACAGGCCATGAGTTTTATATGTGCTGATATGTTTTGTTTTGGTTTTTTTATTTACATTTTGAGATTTGGAGTATCGAAATGATACATGTTTCACAAGTTTAGATGTATTTATTTATTTGACATATTGTTGACCAATCACTGTGCTGTTATTATTATGATTATTATTGTTTTAAAAACTGTGTATAACTAATATAAATCTATAAAGTCATTACTCTGCTTTTTGTAATCATTTTATAAATAAATTCACTTTAAAGAGTTCAAATTTTTCTAACGTGAATTTTGGAAGACTAGAATTTGCATTTATCATATAATGTTCAGTGGCTATTCGGTCCACCATATTATTATACCATATACCATTATATCAAACATCAGTTTCATAATTTTATTATTAGGCAATGGATTCAAAAGGAGGTTAACCTTTCGACGTTTACAATTCGTGGTACTTTGGGAATCACTGGCAGAATACGACATTTCTAAAGCGAAAACCAATGCATGGATGTAAACATATTCAAATATATTTTTGTATCAAAGCACATAAGCCACAGACGTTTGGCGGAAATTCAAAATGGAGCAAACAGGGGCTTCAGTGATATCAAACTGACAAACCTTGGTCTTTTCAAACATAAATTTATGGTTTGCATTTTTAGTTACAGAAACTTATAGCCGTCTGAAATGAAATAAAATGAATGGAGTTTTACGTCCTACTTTTCTGCACCATGTGGGCTAATGAAGACGGGCAACGCCATGCAGGGTGCAATGAGGACAATTTTGCCAGGACAGCGGCATTAGCCTGCTCTTATTCGATTTTCAACTGTCGAGGGATCTTTAACGTGCACAGCCTGCAGCACACGGGACATCCATCCATTTATTGCCCCATCAGAACGACTAGACACTTTTTCCATGTTAGCCCCTCTTACCTGCATCACTGACAAGGGTTGAAAAATCCGAAGGTATTATCTCGACCTATGCCGAACAATGGACCTTCAGGTTAGCGAGCAAGCGTCTAACTCACTGAGCCCTCTGAATATAATATCCCAATGTAAATACTAGATAGTACAGATACGGTAATGGATTCTATATCCAACACTCACATATATCCTATACTCGTGGTGACGTTTGATAAGTTACCACACTTTTGGCTATTGAATACGATATTACAGCTGTGTTGTTATTCTAAATGAGATCTTGCATTATGATATACTTTGCGGGGCCGTTTCAAATCTCAAAGGGCCCGGAAAATTGTTGAATTAAATCTGATGTATGACGTGAAATTGATCGCGATTAACCAGAGATCTGTCCTGATCAACAAGTATCTTGAAGATGAGTATTTAATCAGCAGGGAATCGCAATCAAATCTATCCTCTATTATCCAGACATATCTATTGATCATTGTTTGATTATCCAGACGTATATATCGATTGAACTTAAGCTGAGGTAATCAACCCGGATGAACTTGAAGAAGGCTGGAAGTTGTAATATTTGTCTATATAACCAAAGGTGCTGACCTGGTGTCTTTCCTGTCATCATTTGTCATCCACTAATACATAATAGATTTTCTCACCGCTTCAGTACCAAAGGTTCTGCTTTAATTTAGAGCAGACATGATTTTAAGCAGGTCAGGACTGCATGAATGAATCCAATTGCATGGACCTTTATTCCAGATATTGCCTATTTTCCAGTGTTAAACCACGAGTTGTTTGATAGGATATGTTAATCCGTTTCAATTTACTAGTGAGCCTTTTCCCCAATCAAAAGAGGTTTTGTAGAAAAGGCAATGTGCTGCATTTTAACTAAGTTTTTCTAAAATCATCATTTAGTTAGACAGAAATATTGACATTATAGTAGACTTTGTTGATTCTCCAACACTTCTTTGAAGATGAAAATATATAATAAAAAGTGTCAAGAAAACAGATTCTAACACTTACAGCTCTCTATCCGCTATGAATATAGCGTAATACTCTATTATATATATGTCAAGTTCAATCTTAGAATGTTATCTGGTATTTGATTGTTGAATGACCGCGTGATATTTTAAATTGTATTTTGATAAGCAACCACATAGGCATTAGTATAATGTTGTCATTTTCATTAATAGCTCGGTGAGTTATTTTGGATTTTCCTCTTTCTCGGATATACTTTCATTCGCGACATTCTGTTGCGATTCCTTCTATGGCAACGGTAGATCTGCCCTCTAAAACATGTCTACTGATGGCTTGAGCTCAGTGGGTTTTTCTTTTAATTTTTCTCTTGGAAATGTCAACCTCTTTTCCCTCTTTTCCCTCTTTCCCTCTGATGTACTTTGAGTTGTGACTTTTGTGTTGCAATTCTGGCAACAATACGTTTTGCATCTGTCCTCTGAAACATGTATACGGATGGTTCGAGCCATTTAGACGGTACAGTACACTTTCTCTATCAAAATCTAATTTGAAATGAAATATCCGAAGTTTCCTACGGAATCGATAAAAAACAAAGACTCTGGGCGACCCGAGACTTAAATTGAAATAAAATACATTTTTGTATAACTTAGACTTTCCCTCGATAGACATTTTTCTTTTTAAAATAATCTACACTTTACAACTAGAGTATTACCTTAAAGAGAGCAACTCGGCGTTTTCACTGAAGTTGATACCAAATCGATTGGGGTATCTATTAAATATTGTATTTTACGGGTCTAGTATAAAAAATAAAACCTTTGTTATAAACAAAGTGAATTAATCGATAAATCCAATTTAGATGAGTTATAATTGTGTTATCTTAGGGTTTTATATTTTGCATACTCTTCCAGGTTTTCTTTTGCGTCCCAAATGATCTCTAAAAAGGACACAACATCAATTCCCGTCAACGATCGAGAATATGGAAACATAGATTTCAGAGTTTATAAAGAAATATTCTGGTCTTAAACCAATTTGAATATGTTTAACATGGTATCTCCAATTCTGGTGAAATTGTTTCGTCTAACGTCAGAGAACCATTCTCCTTTTTTTTAAAATTCATATGAGCATCGTAGTCTAAAAACAACACTTGACCCTTTTAATAACGATTTTTATTTTTTTTGATGATCACATGGTGTCTATACGTTCAGATTAATCCACATATTATACAACCTACACAAAATAGATGTTCAGGTTTGGTCATCTTTCTACTAACGATTTTGTGACTTCATCAAATCTTAATGTCCGAAGGTATACTATTACAGCCCGGTTTCTGAAATTTGTATTAATATATACTGCTTGATTTATAGGTTATGAGATGGTCTGGACAATTATACATAAGAAAACGTATTTAAAGTAATGTATGGTGATTGGGCGACTCCTAATCGGATGTTATTAGTAGGTCTGGTCAACCAGACGTATTATTAGTCACTAACTTTATTTAATTTCCTCAATTTTGGACTGTTGGTTTATATCAGTCTGGTCAGTCGTGCCTGACTTGATTAGTGCGTAGATCAATGAAATATAATTAACTTGTCCTTTAAAGGAAATGATAAACACTGTTCTACGTTTTCAAAAGCTAAAAAAAAAAATTATATACAATGTTTTACGTCCTACTTTTCTGCACCATATGGGCTAATGAAGACGGGCAACGCCATGTCAATTTTGTCAGGACAGTGGCATTGGCCTGCTCTTTTTCGATTTTCAACTGTCAAGAGATCTTATACGGGCACTTGCACAGTCTGCATCGCACGAAGCCTCGGTTTATTACCCAATCCGTGTGATTAGACCGAGTCACCGAATCACCGCGGTTCCAATATCCAATATATAGAAAAGACATATATAGAATTAGTGAGTAAAATTCCTAGTTTGAAGTATTTTTAATGGAATTTTGTGATTTTCGTACATTTCTAGCACTTCTGAAGACTATTTACATACATTTAATACTAAAATCAACCCCCCAAAATGGTACACCTGTCCCTTTAAGTAAACTATTTGATTAACTGGTGTTTCTAATGAATTATTCATAATCATATCATTATGATCTTATTGCATATAAGAGTTTTAACCAATCATAAATGTCCATGTATGTACAGTGTGGATAAACAAAAAACAATCGGTCACTCATTGGAATTCTAGTGGCATTTCTTTTCTAATTTAGCTAATTATGAATTAACTATGGACATGTTAGACAAACCGGTATTTTTCCAAGTTATTAGAAGAACCTCTACTTTCTATTCATATACGTATTGTCATTTCTTTAAGGGAACCCATCTTTACAGTAGGGTGAATACAAAAAGAAAATACATCATATGTATGCACACAATTTGATGACAACAGACACAAGTTTGTTTTCAGTACAAATTGTTCTTATGCTGGAAGGGATAT